GGCAGGCTGCCAGGCACAGGGGAGCGAATTCTGGGCTTCTGCCTTAGCACCGAGGCTAGTGGTTGAAGAGTTAATTTTTCACAGCGGGGAGTGCCATGATCAGATGTGTGGCTTGAAGGGAACCCTGAAGTGTTAACCATAGACACTGCTCCTGAGTCTTCAGCTACCCTGGATAGATCAATTCTAGAGTCCATCTACCTATCCCAGGAGTTGGGTTTCTCGGGTAGTGAGATGATTTGGAGCCCACGCTTTTATACCATCGCTCTGCCCTTTAGGCAGAAATGGATCTTTCCCTCCTGCCTTTCGTGTCCTGCTTTCCGTGACCGAGGGTCCGGTCTCTGTTCAACCTCTTATTAGTGTGATTATCTTCTGGAGTCATGAGCTGCCCAAAGCCGGCAGTTGCCTGCCAGCCCATCACGGTGCCATCGCCATGAGTTATTAGAGAGGTTTACGAGGCCAGGATAAACAGCATGAATCAAGAGGGAGAGACAGGCCTCCCTCCTCCAGCTTACATTGCTGTCACTCAGGGAGAATGCCAGAAGGGGGTGGAAGGAGGGTAGGGGAAAAGGGGTGGGAGGCAGGGATGAAAGGAGAGAGAAGGAGGGAAATAGGATGAACAAAAGAGGATTGGAGAGAAGGAGGAAGCAAGGACAGAGGATAGGGGAAGAGATTTCCCATCAGAGGTGACGAGAGCTGATAGCAGCCCATTTTCCGTCACCATTTGGGTGGCCTCTGAGCACAACCAGGAAATTCAGACAACACCTAGGATTGTGCCCTCTTTCCATTGATGACCTGCTACTGTTGTGTGTCTTTGGGTAAGTCCTCTGCCTTGCTGGGCAGCCAGTTTCTCTCTCTCCTGTTGGCCGGGCTGCCAGCTGCCCTGTGCATGGATGCATATGAAATGTTGTCATCCCTTCCAAAGAAGTCCGCTGGAAAGCAATGAGCTGGTGCCACTCTCCTTACTTGAAAAGTGCACTGAAGCTTTCCAATTAATAACTTGTCGCCTTGTATGCAGGCAGGTTACCGCATTCATGGATTGAGAAGGTCTTGAACCTGCTAGAATACATAAATGGGCACTGGCACTTAGGGTTGCCAGTTTGAATCGTAGTTGAAGACTTGGGGGACAAATGCCTTTGCTTCTTTGGTTATCTACTTTTGTGTTGCAGCCAAAGACCCCCTACCACAAGTTAACCAAATTCTTCTTCCTTTTCGGCAGAATCAGAACTGCTGTTATTGTTCTGAGTATTTATGACAGTTATGGAAATTCTTGAGAATTTAAGCAAAGGAGAAGTATTTAAATTACATGAAATTGGAAACTAGGAAGTTCAAGACATTTTTTTGCATTTTTATTAAGCTTTTTGAGTTTGGGCTTAGGCATTTAGTTGATCTCTTCCCGCATATTCTTTAGAGTGGTCATCCATAGGCTCCACTCCATTGGTTTATTTCTAATGTTGTAAAATGGCATTAAGCTCCTAGGAGCTGCAGTATTTGAATTCAGGCAGCACCTGACTGTGGTTTAGGTGACAGACTACAAAAAGGAAGTAGAGTAACAATTAGACCAAGTCCTTTGGCATTTTTATCTAGATGGTATATAAAGAATCTTTAAAATGATTTCCTAAGATCGCAGTTATCCATCCTTTACTTGAATGAGCACTAATGACCTAATGCTGAACTGGGTATTGATCAGAATCTAATGACTTATGGCTTTGGCCATCATGAGTATCCAATTGGAAGATACCTTGAGAGGCCTGGATTCTCAGAAGCCACATATTTATTCTCTGTTGTTGTATATCAAAACCCAGGGTCTGAGTGCAGGCCTGCCATAATTTCCCTTGTTTGAAGGCATGCCATTTGTCCAGGATCTTTTTTTTTTTTTCATCTTTAGTATGTGCCTCTGTATTGACAAGTGAAAAGACCATTGCCTCCGAATAGGCAGTAAAACTTTGATTCTTTGAAGCGTTCAGAATACTCATTCCTTAGCTCCTTTCAACAAATATTTGAGTTGGCTTCTGTGTGACCAGCACTGTCTTAAGCTCTGAGGTTACAATAGGAAGCAGATGATAAAGCTTGTTCTTCTGGAGCTGACATGCTAGTGACCTATTCTGACTGATTGTAATTCTGTCATTTTCTGGTGAACTAAAGAACAGATACCCATGAGTCATCCCATTCACTGGGCATTTCTTATGTGCTTTTTAAAGGCTTTATGGCACCTCTTTTGGGGGTAAGGGAAACGGGTAGAAAAGGCTTCCTAAAATGTCTATCCCACTGTTCTTAAAGAGTTGGATTTCTGAAGATTGACATCTTCTAAGGTAGATCATAGAGTGGAGTATCTGTTAGCCTGAGCAAATTCTAAAGAAAGTGTAGATTAGGCTGAATGTATACTAACCAGACTATCTCCTAGGAATGAGATTTTTAAACAATTTTTTTCTTTTAATATAATTTATTGTCAAATTGGCTTCCATACAACACCCAGTGCTCATTCCAACAAGTGCCCTCCTCAGTGCCCATTCCCCATTTTCCCCTCTCCCCCACTTCTCCCTTAAACAATTTCTTGACACTAGCTTTATTTCTCCCTTCTTTCTCGAAGTAGAGCACACCAGAGGGGTGGCGGGGGCGGGGGGAGTCCAATTGAGGTAATGCTGAGCTGTATTATGTATTAGATTCAGGAGTTCTAAAATTGGAGCTTGGGACACTTTGATTTGATTATTCTTTTCAGATAGTTTTTAATATCTTTCCTCTTTATGGGGATTTTTGGCATCCTATTCATTAAAATCTGACATGATTGTTTGTTTTTGAAATTTGATTTTGTAAGCACTTCTTGAGCCCCGAACACACAAATGTGAAAACCAAAATCTGTAGGTCTGCCAAGCTTTCAACAGCATAGCTGGTGGAGACCAGAAAAGGAGTTACACCTTAAATGATTCAGACCAAAACAGAGGAAGGTACACAGTGCTGAGAGAACACAGACTTGCATGTGCTTTCTTCTTCTAGGGGTGGGGACCCTAAGTAAAAGGACCAAAGGGACTGGGGAGGAAGCTTACAGGGGCTTCCCGGAGGCAGCAGAACCTCAGTGCTTGACTGTGGACTCCTAGCTGAGTTTGTGGGCCTAACTCAGATGGAGACTTCAGAAAGGAAATTCATATCTTATATACTTTACATAGATGGTATGTATTATTGGGTAAATGATAGCTGCTATTTGTAGGATACATACTGTGTGCTAGGCACTGCATGAAGTATTTTTCTGGCATCCTATAGTCTATCATAGCTCTTCCTCTAGAGCAGGTAGTATTAGCTCCATCCTATAGATGGGGAACCTGTGGCCCAGAGAGGTTGAGGGACATGGCTGAGATCACACAGCTAAGAAGCTATAGATCTGAGATTCAAACGTGGAGGTATCTTTGCCTCCCAAAGCTAGTGCCCCAACCTCTACATATGTTGCTTTTATGTAGTGCTGCTGTGGCAAACTGAAACCCCCCTGCACCCACCATAGATAGCTTGGGCTGTGTCTTATAGGGATTCCTCCTTACTTCGCTGTGGGAACCTGGGCCTTTCTTCCTTGTCACTTGGATTGATTTCCAGTTAATTTAACACAACCTCTTTCTCCCACTTCTCTAAATAGCCAGGTGCTATTATGACTTTAGGAGCGTGTTTCAGATCTAGCCTGGACTCACTATGTGGCCTGGGTTGCATCCCTTTTGAGTCTCGCTCTCTTATTTTCTCTGTGTGCTACCACTCTGGGAATAGGATTATTAGTAATCCTATTTGTATTAAGCAATATTAGCATTTCTGGCTAAAGATGAGGTGAGACGGCCAACAGACACATGAAAAGGTACTCAACTCGCCAGGGAAATGCAAATCACAAACCACAATGAGATCACCTCACACCTGTCAGAATGGTTAAAACCAACAACACCAGAAACAAGTGTTGGTGAGGATGTGGAGAAAAAGGAACCCTTGTGCACTATTGGTGGGAATGCAAACTGGTGCAGCCCCACTGCAAGACAGAATGGAGGTTCTTCAAAAAAATAAAAATAGAATTACCATACGATCCGGCACTACTGGGTATCTACTCAAAGACTACAAAAACACTAATTCAAAGGGATACATGCCCCCTTATGTTTATGGCATCATTATTTACAATAGCCAAACTATGGAAACAGCCCAAATCTTTATTGACAGATGAACGGATAAAGATGGACAAACACAATGGAATATTATTCAGCCATAAAGAATGAAATCTTGCCATTTGCGACATGGATGGGCTAGAGAATATAATGCGAAGTGAAAAAAGTCAAAAAGACAAATCCCACATTATTCTACTCAGGTAGAATTTAGGAAACAAAAGGAAAAAAAATGAGACAAAACCAAAAAATGGACTCAACTACAGAGAACAAACTGATGATTATCAGATGGGAGGTGGGCGGGGGATGGGGATTAAGGAGTGCACTTGTTGTGATGAGCACTGAGTCATGGACAGAACCGTTGAATCACACTACATCATACCCCTGAAACTATAATGCTGTATGTTAACTACACTGGAATTAATTTTGTTTTAATCAAGTAAAAGGAAAGGATGAGGTAAGATACTTCATCTGTGCCTTTTGTCCCCAGAGTGGAGTTCTAGCTGGACTGACCCACTCTGAACCATCCCAGCTTCTGTGGGGAGGTCGTAGCTGTCTAAGAGCCGAAAGCATAATCAGAGCTCTGTTTCCCAGTCTCCACACATTTCTGTGATGTCCCAGTGCTCCAAGACTGTCGTCAATGCAGTTGTCTCTGCTTTAGATGCCGACGACCTTGCCCCAGCTGTCCCTGGGGGACGGTGGCTGGATGAGTAAGTCCTGAAGCTTGCTAGCTGCGGCTCAGCATTTCACATGCCTGCGCTGATTGGACAGACCCCAGGATGGGCCTTAGGACTTGGTTGGCCTCAAGCTTTCTGAACATCACTACTCAAGGTGTTGGGAATGATTGTTTATTTTTCTGACTTGTGTTTCCTTTTTCAGCCAATGAGAAGATTGAAGACATCAATGGCTGTCCCAAGAACAGATCACAAATGGTAAGTGGTACATGGCTGGTGAGTGTCTTTATTAAGGAAGTAGCCCTTCCTCTCAATGATAGTGACCGTCTTGGAAACAGCCACACTGTAAGCTTTACTCTAAGGGATTATATTAATAAACTTAACAGCTATTTCCAAGCCGCCGTGTTCTGCTTCTCTCTGATATTTGTTGGCATTTACTAAAAAGTGGCCATGATTTTTACAGAGAGTCTTAGGTCAGCATTTCACGTTCCCTGTCTTTCTTGTAGAAACACATTATGCAGACCTGGTGCAAACCTACGCTTGTTGAGAATTTGGACTGTTGGGACTCAGTTCTGCTTTCTCAAAGACACACAGCGATTTCTGTTTGTGTATATGGTGCTAGGGCACAGATGAGGTCATGGCGTCTTGCTCAGAAATGGGGGCATGTGATCTGATTGCCTTCAAAGGTTGGAATGATGTGAAATCAGAACGGTGGCAGGAAATGTGAAGTGTACGATACTATCCAGACCATTGTTAAAGTGACCTTGACAAGGGATCTTCTCTCTGGTGTGATCTGCTTAAGTTCTGATATTAGAGCTGTTAAAAAAAACAAAAACAAATGAGTCTTTTAACATCTGTTCTTGTTATGTGTCCTCATAATCTTTGAATTAAAATTCATGATCACTGTTGAGGTCAGAGCACGTTAAATTGCAGTGCTCTTAATACCTGGTTTTTCCCTTCATCGTGCTTTTCAGATGTGAATGTTGACACGAATTGTGTACATATCCGTTCGCTAAGATGATGGTCCTACCTGCTTAAAATATGAAGGTGGCAATTTAAGGGCAACTTTTTTCTTTTTTCTTCTTCTTTTTTTTTTTTCCAGGACCTTAATTTGCTTTCAGAAATCTAAAACTAAAAAAAGGCATAATCTGTTTTTTCTGACCTCCCCCTACTCCCTTTGAGTTGACACAATTTGATAGTCTCATTCCAAAGTATAGCAAAGTGATTGGCGATCCTTGGTTTTACTTCTTAATTTTCAGGGTTGTTAATGCCAATGAGTTGGCCAGACAGCCTTTTCGGTGACCTTTATTTTTTACTATAAAGAGGAGTGTGTGTGGTGTGATGGGAGTCATTTTTCAGTTTACGTTTTGAAACAAGTTTTCTGTTTGTTTTGGTTGTTTTTTTTTTTTTTTTTTTTTTTTTTTTTTTTTTTTTTTTTTTTTTTTTTTTTTTTTTTTGTCCTTTCACTGGAGATTTTTTTCTGTTGGTTTGCTCCAGAGAGCAACCACTCCTTACATAGGAAAGTCCCCATGCAGATCTCCCCTGGCCGCTTTGAATTTTGGAAAAGCTTGGCTGCTATTTTTGTTAGAGCTACTGCAGCTGTCTAGTATATTAATAATTGGGAAAATGTGGAAGATAGAAGATTTAATTTAGGGTAAGCATTTTACACATGCAGGTCCTCTCTTCACACGAAAGAGAGGCAGTACTTTCCCCTGGGAAAGATACCGATGCATTTGTCCCAGCCCATTATGATGCATGTGTAGACCTGGTATTTGAAGGCAATGAACCTTTTATTCTCTTTGGCACTTCTGTATTTTCTGCGCCTTCTGTGGGAGGTGTTAAAGTCCACTTTCAAGATTATAAAATAATATTGCCACCTCAGGTTCCGTGGTGCAAATTTAGCTCTCCGTGCAAAATGTTATTTATAAATGCTACCATGGCACCGATGAAATTTTGTGGCTTCTCTAACTCTTTCAGCTGTGAAAGTATTGTTTTTTTATGGCCTGTGTTTTTTTTTTTTTTTTTTTTTTTTGAACATAGGAATATAAAATCCTATAATTGTCGGTGATAATTAGTTCCAGTGTAAGGGCAGGGAGGCAGACACGGTCTGGTGGTGAACGAAGCAGAGAAGATTTCATACAGGATGTGAGTCCAGGAAAATGTGAAAACCACCACCGCAGTCATTCTGTTCTATAGGAAATGAGAAAGATGATAAAGACAACAGGGCTATTGTCATTTTCCCTACATCACGAACTGTGACAAATGCCTAAGGCAGAAGCTCCCCTAGAGCATGCAGGAAGTGCTCCTTAGACCAGCATGGGTGGTGTTCCATCTACGAGGACCCCTGTGTGTGTGTGTGTGTGTGTGTGCGCGCGCATCCGTATGGGCATATACAGAGTTAATGCATTTCTACTCATGGGAAGCATCCTTTGGGGATGTGGCACAGTGGTGAGCCACCACTTCTGGATTCCTAGAAGGTCAGACTCCAAAGGAGGCTTTATTTAGGGCAGCCAATGATAACAGATTTGGAGGAAACCGAGTGGGAAGCATGTGGGGAGCACCATGTTGGTAGAAGGGTGATGACCTACAGAGAAATGAGAACTTGGGCAGTGCACCTGCTCAGAGGGTAACTGCACCTCCCTGAAAATAATCAGCAGAGCTGATGTGCTCACTCCCTGAGAAAGTAGGGACTCTTCAGGGGCCTTGAGTAACGGAGCCAAAGAAAAACAATGATGTTTCAGAGCAGGAGGAATGGATGCTGTTCCAGTTTTTAAGGGGCAAGTTCAGTCCATCAGCTAATCTGGGGGTTGGGCCAAGAGCTTTGATTTTGGTGGGTAGGAGGCCCAGCCCCCTTGCTTCTGACCCACTAGGTTGTTGAGGAGCTCAGGTCTCAAACTCTTGCACTCCAGGCTCTGCTTCAAATGTCCTTTTCCAGGAGGATGGGGAAGTGAGAGCAGATGCCTAGGGCATATGGACGTGAAAATCCCAAGGGCACTGATGCACAGACATGATGGGTGTGGCATTGTCACTTGTAGCCTGCCAGTCAGCATTCACAGAGTACCGACCAATGCCAGGCACTGGGGTGGGCCAATTGAATGCTCAGGTGGGCAAGATGTGATCCCTGCCCTTAAGGAACCAGGAGACCAGAGAATAACAGTGCAGCTGTTTCCATAGACCTCTGTGCACGGCACAGTGGGGGCCCGTTCCATCTGAGGACAAGGGGAGGTTTAAGAATAACTTCTTGGGAGGGAGTCTGAAACGTAAGAGGGTGCACCACGGGGGGAGTGATAGGTGGAAGAAGATTCACATCCCTGGGGCATCCCTTTGCTAAAGGATGTCCTGGACCCTTGCAAAGGAAGGTTTTGCAACATTTGTTGATGATCCTGCTGCAGTGCCATAAGCTGTCTCTGGTGAGACTCCTCTTCTGAGGTGAGGAGTGGGGCACGGAAGAGACAGAGTACAACACACCCCATGGGCATGGAGGTCTTTGGGTCTGGGACGGGTCCGCATTCATCATCACTACCCGGATCACCGCATTTTGGGAGGGCAATTCCTGTTGGGTCCTGGAGTGAAATTTAAAAAACCACAGCAACAAAAAGTTTACTTTTGAGAGCGAGCATGCAAGCAGAGGAGGGGTAGAGAGACAGGGGGACAGAGGATCCAAAGCGGGCACTGACAGCAGCAAGCCCGATGCAGGCGTCAAACCCACGAACCGAACCATGAGATCGTGACCTGAGCTGAAGTCAGATGCTTAACGGATGTGAGCCACCCAGGTGCCCCCTGGAGTGAAGTTCTTTAAAGGGAAATACCCATGGTCATCCAGCCTTGTGGAGGGAAGTTCAATCATGGACTCTGGGAGGTGAGAACCCTACCTGGTGGGAAATGGTCGTCCATGATTTTAATATCAGCACTAACTTGTATCTGCACAGTGCTGTGAGGTTTGTGAGACCGTTCATACTTACGGGCACATCCTGTCCTCCCAACTCTGCTGTGGGCCTGCACAACATGCCCCCCTTTCTGGTGAAGAGAATGAAGTGCCAGGTGGTGAAAGGCTGTGCCCAGGAAGAGGCAGAGCCGGGACCGTCGGCATATACTGTCACTCTCTCCTAGGCCTCCTAGGACGAGACTGTGACTGTGACAAGACAGGCACGGCAGGGACTTCCCTTTCCCTAGCAAGCTGGCCTCAGCTTGTGTTGAAGGAGTTCTTTGCCTGGTTTCAGGCTGACCTAGACACCGTGGGGGCCGCGTCCTTGGAGACGGAGCCGTGGAAACATTCCCACCCCCTTTCACCCACCAGTCCATCCATTTGGCCCTTAAATAAGTTTGTGTGTGTGCGTCAGAGGCGGGTAAAATGTTTTGTCTGTTGAGCATTGCCATGGCAACCCAGAGGCATCTTTTTTGCTTTCAAGCGGTGAGTTCAGCAGAGTTCTGCATTAGTCTGGAAGGAGAAACCTTGCCTGGAGCCTGGCCCGAGGGCACGGCCTGCCTCCTCGAACCTGAATCCTGTACTCCAAGACAGGGCCTCACTTTGGAGCCTTGGAATGGCTACCACAGGGAGTGGTTTTCTTTTTTAATCATTATTATCTTACATGGCTTGACTTTCTCTTGTCGGTTAGGAGAGGTGAAAGTTAGCAAGGCCTGCTGGCCCTTTCAGCGGAAAGCCCCAGGCCTGTTTACCCCTCTGGCTGCTGATCTCAGGCCCGGGGTCATCTGGGGGCTTCCAGCCCACAGCCTCCTCCTGAGCTCTCCGGGAGGGCTCTGCCTTCTTCACTTAATGCTTCTAGACTGAGGGCCGGCTGGGCTTGGGAACCAGACAGGCCAAGTTCGAGCTCCTTCTCTGCTATTCTGTGGCCTTGAGCTCACTAGTGAACCTTTTTGAAGGCTCTATTCCTGCTCTGTAAGGTGGGGTTGATAATACGTCCCTCAAAACGTTTTTGCAGTACTAATGAGGTGGTAAAGGAGACGATAATGGAGAATACTGATCACCATGATAAAATACAGCTGGAGCCTGTAAAGTGTCGGCCTTGTGCCAGGTGCCTTGCTAAGTGCTGCCCAGCTGTCCTCTCCCTCCATCCTCCCAATAGCCCTTGCAGGTAGGTGATCTTACCCTCATGCTCCTCGCCTATGAGCAGCACTCAGAACATGGTAGTTTCTCTGGTGATGATTTGTGCATGTAGTTCATGTGTTGGAAACATGGAGTCCTCTGGAAATCTGAGGAAAGCTAGGGCTCCCTCCTTCCCAGATTGCACACACCCCAG